TGAACATATCTCTGCAGGTCTGATAACCGTAACTGAACAGTGAGCTGAGGTCATCTGAAACGACAATGCCTTTTTCAGTAGTTTATTGCATACGTTCGTGTGGCTATCTCAGCTGCTCAGCGCACTTTTCTCTTGCTAAAATTTATGTCGGTCTCCCTTTGCGAACCCACCGGAATATAATAGCTTTGACCGTACAACCTGTACTTTTATCGACAAATAGCGACTATAACGCATCCACAAAAACAGGTTGAAACTGTCTTCATGAAGCACGAATGGATCATCATCGCAGGTTTTCATTCTCGAAAACTACACGTAGTATTGCACCTCTAAAAAATACCACAAGGCACTATATTTAGTAAATAATACTAAGTACAATTATAAGTGTATCTGTTTATATCGTTCTATACATTTCTAGTTAAAAATCAAAAAGTGTCAAAGGAGTTAAACTGGTCTCGGTGGACAAGAACATGATTTAGTTTGCATTCGTAGAAATACATGGTGCATCCCTGTTTTTGCAGAAGCAATACTGTACTATATATACCGAAGATCACAATGTATCATACCTGCAAACAGTATAGTATGACGGGTTCCACATATAGTAATAGGCCGACATTTCGTCTTTTATTCCCAAAGGACACAGTACATAACTATATAGACTTTATACAGACCTCTCTGAAAAGGTACATATATCGAAGAATGCATCGATTGAGCATTGAGACACTAACCGTAAAACAGACCATCATACGGTAGGTAATATCGTATGTTGACGGGCATAATAGAACCACTATCTGAGCAAAACTCGGCCGAGGCCAACATTTCTATGATCATATTGGTGTAGACCTCATATGCAATCCGTAAAATTATACTGCGTATATTCTCGCACCCAATTTTATGGTGCTACATTGGACTTGGTGACCTATTTGAACTGCTGTTGCAGTTCGTGCCAATTATATCGGTTCGTTCGACGTTCAGCAGTTGTCTATCAAAGGCCGATACCTTAGTAAAAGGAAAATAGAGAGCAAGAGAGAATGTACAACAGACCACATTGTGTTACTTGTTTTTTAAGGCTTTGGCTAAGTTAGTTGTACAATTTTCCGATTTTTTTCACATTACAATCGGATGTTTCACTCGATCAGAATGAGATTAATGGTACGACTGGCTTCCCTTGCATACGTTATTAGACGACTTTTGGCGGCTACATTGAAGTGGGAATAGCAGAAAGCTCACTTCTATTTCAATCGGTGACAGGAGATGCTATCCACCTTTTTTTTTTTACTACTGCTCTTTGCTCCTGTGTTTCCTTCCTGACCCTCTTGCTGTACTAATACACACTGTAGACATTTCTGTTTTAAGGCATTGCTATAGACACCGGCTCGTTGTTCCAAATCTTGTCTCAACGTTAAGCGCCACGGTGACTTAGAGGTGTGCTATTCTTTTCAAGCAGCCAACTATTAGATGGTTCAACAACAAGAACTATACGCGCTCAAGGGAAATTGGCCAACTTCTCACGTCAGCACCTTCCAAAAGTACGTTACTAAATTCGTAAAAACAAGAATAGTTAATTGCACGTATAAAACGCTGTACACTAGTGCTGCGCCAATTCTCCACTATGTCAATTTTCTGGGGATGAGAAGTCGCCGTTCAGAAAGCAGAACGAACCTTAACAGGGTATATTGGCAAAACCTCAAATTTCTCGTCCCCAATACTAGCCTTGAACGGCCTTACCCACTACACGATTGTTTGCAATCTAAGAAATCCTTCAATATCAATCGTCAGTAGCGTAACGTTGTGGCTTTTTCTACCTGAGGCGCAGCGCCACTTGATGTAGTTCGATCGTTGTCGCAGGACTAACTTACAAGACAATAACTAGTTAATAGAAAAAAATTGGATATTTGTTAAGTTATAATGAGCCGTGTCGATTCAGTAAACGAGTTTTTTTCAGTTTTTAAAGCGATATGTTTAAACGCACACAGTAGTAATGGCGTAATGAGTATTTTCTCGAGCGTCATAAACGAATGATCACGGCTGCTATTTATAGACATTGGTAGTAAATTGTGCAGCAGTCGTTGAGGGCTGAATATAAAAGCTAATTAGCTTACTGAGCTACTCTTCAGCAAAATTCTAACGTAGTTTTTTAATCTATGAAGCTCAAAGGTGTTCCTTAAGCCGTTTTCGCAACGCCTATGACCGTGGCAGACGGAACCGGGCAACGAAATCATTAATGAACCGTTCTTCATTTTAAATGATTGACTTCATTAGAGTAAAGTTATTAGAAAGGCAAACGGATATTGGCTTAGACGTCTCGTAGATAGGCCCTTCAGCTTAATATCGCCAATGGGCAAATCAATGCAGCATTTATTAAACATAAAGCTGGGACGAACATCGGCTTACCTCATCTGATGAATGCGGGAATTTTTGCAGGCAAACTGAAGGTTATCAATACTTTGAAATGAATTTAAGCTCATAGAATCTAACGTATGTTGAATTTTGCTGAAGCCATCCCTTCGTACCACGTACCGCGCGGCTACTTGTTGGGAGCATCCATGTATAGCACGGACAACCGACCTGAGCGATGTCGTTCGCCTCAGACGAGAAATGGTAATAGGCATTTTCGGACTGCATACTGAATTGTATGAATTCACGTTGAATCCCGTAAAGAAAGTCGTCAAAGCTACACGAGCCGCTTTTCTAAATCAGGGCGAGGGTTTTACTTCAGGCCAGGAGGACGGCCCGCGAAACGTAATTGCGAAAGCTGCGACCACGCCTCCTAAAAGGTCAACGAATCAAGTGAAATCAAAGAAAAACAATAACGAGCGTTAGACGCAGTACCTTGACACTAACATTTTGTCATTCTAGATTGATAATAGTTAGAGATACATATATCTCTTTACTGGTGGTGGATTTCTCAGATATGAGATAATTTATTGGTATAAATCATCGGCACCATTCTATATCGAATACAAGTCGCTACGAACAAACCTGTAGCATTAATTTAAAGGATATTAACAAAATGCGTGTGATGATTTTTGCAGAGGTAATCGTTTGAAGAAGGGATGAGGTACTAAATGCAAGCGCAAACCAGGATCTGGATTATGTGAAGTACAAGTACGGAAAATTCACAGGTGGTAGTTTGCGTCTAAAAAAATGGCTATGCTAAGCTTTGGGACAAGTTTGCCAACGGTGTTAAGTCAAACCTAAGAGAAGACGTGAGTGGTGTCCAAAGAGAGTGCTACGAGAAAAGCAACGAGGCAAGCTTCGCACACCAGGTCATCAGTGCAGGTCTAGCTGGCTGTTCAGTGGTTACGAGTACTGGCAAGTGTACGCTAAACTATAAACGCTTTGTGCGATTGACGAACGGCTTTCCAGAACAGCTTACCCGATCCGCAAAAATGATTGGATTCTAATAGAGGTCCGTCTCTATCGAAAGAGTCATCGGAAAAGACAACAACAACATTCATCGAAGAAGTATTGTAACTGTTTGGCTGAAGGCAAGTAGAACTGGCCAAGGCGAGTGCGGTGGGCACTACTCGACGAGGAACTGAAGCCAAGTATCAAAATCAAAAGGCCTTACTGTGTCAATGGTAACTTAAAACTATTATATGGCATGCGTGAACCTGTTTATCCGATACTGTTAACGTTGAGCTCTAAGGTAGCTCGGCGCCTAAATTTTATTGGTGTCTTAGACAAAATTACAATATTGCCAGCAAGATCCATTCAAAGTACACTCTACGTAACATAATAGATGTACTTTGGTCATCGGGACATGCCGATGGGGCTCGAATACGTCAAAATGGCAGGAATAACGGTAAAAAAGGACTTCTAATATTATTGCTGAAACGTTTTCGATTGTCTATTAACTTACTCTAGGCAAGTCCTCTAATATAATAGTTCTGAGGCACGCTAATTTAAAATAAGTCGAACTTATATTTAACGATTTAGCCAGAACACATATTCCTATAACAAACTACATCGGAATTCGTTTATAGGCGGCTGGCTTGTGCACTCCAAAGACGAATTGCTCAAAAACTGTAGTACGGTATTGTTAAAGTCGTTTCAAATCTGTAGCGTGTCAATTAGCAGAACAATAATCCGAGTAAGTATTAAGCCTAAGCCTACAAGGTTTAAATAAATAAGTTAGTTAGGTACCCGAGGCATACTTTACGTTTATTTGCGTGTTCTTTTTTGGATTCGATCCCGCCTGCTTCGGGCAAATCACGTGAAAGACTATGGATTGTACTTTGCTTTTAATTAGATTATAGAATAAACCATTTCCATCCAAGCTTTAAACTCATACAGACCAAATGCGGTAACTGGTTCGGCATTCGTTCAAGTTATGGTTTAAGTCATGTTTGTGTGCTACCATTGATCAGTCAGTTCTGCACAGCGTCCAATAGTTTGTAGGACATCAATAACTTTCATTATGAAAGTCCTCGCATTTGTTCGCAAGCTTTTAATAATAAAATTGCTAAAATAATCCTACTCTGTTACTAACGCTGTTATGGTTATCGAGAAATGGTCCATAAAACGTAATCTAGCCTAACAGTGTTAGTTGACAACGGATCGTATTAAAAACGAGGCAGCAGTCAAGGGTAGCTTCGCGTCAGCCCTTTATCTTGTATGGGTTTCATAAACTTCACGGCCCATGGTTTCGGAGTATGACATGCACTGAAAAAAAGCACCGAAAGCTGAGGTCCTCGTCCAGGCGGCTACGTAATTTGCTAGCGCTAAACGCAGTCACGCATGGCAACCAGATCATCCGTAGTCAATTGCGAACACACACACACACACACACACAGAAAACTGTTGCTGGTGGCGATCTTGTCGCGGCCGAGGGCCGTCGCTTGTCTGTAGCCTCAATCTGACTGGCTGACCGACCGACCGGCCGGGCGTTGCTGGGTGCTTGCCGGGAAGCGTAGAGAGTCACAAACTGTAGTAAAGTGAGGTAGGCAATTTGAAGCTATTCCACACCATATTATGAGCTTTGGGATTTGAGCCACACGATGAGCAGGCTCCGGGCGGCGCGGGCCGCCCTGGGGCTAGTCAGCTTCACATCGGTGTTTGGTATTGTGCTACGCGCTCTGTTATTGGAACCGATGACAAAAGCTGGATTGCCGCAGGCACGGTATTTAGCAGTCCCGAAAAAATGCAACGAATCGGCAAACCTATTGGTGTGTGTCTTTTCGAAACCTATTAACATCGAGAATCGGTTAGCTATACGAGATACGTGGGGCAAAGCTTTTGTGCAGGCCGGCGCTAAGGTCGTGTTCCTTCTCGGCAAGTCGTACGATCCAATATTGATAGAAGAGATTCGAGCGTATGGTGACATCGTCCAGGAGGACTTTAAAGATTCATATTATAACTTGACACTAAAATCACTTGCGATGATCCGCTATGCAGCCACACGCTGTCCTCGAGTGCAATTCATTCTTAAGGCGGACGATGACGTTCTGATTAATACGAAGAAGTTTTTGAAGGACATCAATCATTTAGCACAACCTAAATCCATATGGGGTAACTTGGCGCAAGGATGGACGCCCATACGACAACCGACATCCAAATGGTACGTTCCGCCGTATCTCTATAATGAAACGTACTTTCCTGATTTTGTGACTGGTGTCAGTTACCTGATGACCGGTGACTGTCCTGCCCTTCTCTACGAAGGATCGCAGAACTTGCGCTATCTCTACCTCGAAGACGTCTTCTGGACTGGTATAGTAGCCGAAAAAGTGGGCATTACACGGTTCGCTCAGGCAGGGTTTTCCAACTCGAGGGTATTTCTACGAGCTTGCGACCCATCAGCTGGCCCATGGTTTATGAGTCACGGATACACCCCAGAATATTTAAGGATTTCATGGAGAAGCCTTCAAAAGAGGCTTGCGATGTGTGATAAAGTGAAAAGAAAAGATCCAGCAGTGCATCGAGTGTACTGATTATATGCGTCATTTTCGTTGGAGAGCTCACAGACATCTAGCTGGGAATGACACAAAGTCCATCAATGTATAAAACATAGTGAAAATATAGAAGTCTCGAAAACTGTAGAATTAAACCTAAAATATACATGTCGTGATCTAACGATATAATGGATTTATATATTCGCGCAGATATATAAAATAGAGCGCGATCAATACAATAGGACGTTAGGTATAACAATGTCAAGGTAAATGTAGTTTGTCACTTATTCTTTAATAGGTGAATATGTATTTGGCGATTATTTTTCTTTATAATTTCAACATACAAATACATTTACATATATAAACATACCTTATGTCGGTTTTTAGGTTAGACTGGCGACCTGATAGAGTAACTATAAAATGCTCTAGTGAAGCTCAACTAGGTGCTCATATCACCCAGTATAAATCGTACTATAAGCAAGAGCGGTGTAGCCTGACAAGACCTTATCCAAAGCACGAAGTTAAGAATTGAAAAAAAAACGCACCTTTTTCATGAACAAATTTGAATGCAATATATGACCCCCTCATAGGGTAGACCTCACACGTTTGTCACGCCCTTTGCAAAATAAATATCGCTATCCAAACGTAGTTCCAAAATAGACCATTTCAGGGTCGCTTTAGTTTTTTTTTTATGTAAACTGACGGCTTAACTTTTGTCCAACTAAATGTTATCTTTATTAGCAGCCCTTAGCTTCTCTGTATAACAGGTGGTAAAGTGAACATCTGTCAACCAGTTCACAAAGGTCATCGCTTATCACTACGAACATATCTAGCTTATATCGATAGGGAAACATAAATGAGTTTTCCGTGTATCCCCACCCATCATTTCCACCAGTAACAAGATCCATCTAGTTTTGCCTACCGTTAACCTAAAAACGAAATATCAAAGACCAATATGCCCCTATGTAAAGCATCTAGGCAAAAACCGGTTTTTAAGAAAGAGTTTATTACAACTAGTTAAAAGGTCTTTAACATTTGCGTTATTGCAACATTAAACCGTTGATGCCATATGCAGTAGAGGCGGCGCTTAGGAACTTTCCACCCTTAATTCACGCACTGCTGGTTCCATTCAATCCAATTACACGCAGAAAATAAGTCAAAATTATTGTGACCTTTACGGTTTCCCAATTTATATAAATTGTATATACTAGCACACTTTGTGCCTAAGGAAAGCAGTATAATGGCCGTCTTTATCTTGTCTATTCAATTACGCTTTCATAGTCACACGTAACTAGCATTCGCAAAAACAGTCTAGAAAAACATCGCGTGACATCTATCATATTCGTACTCAGCTATAATTTCGCCTCAGGAGTATATTGTCTGAATCCATCGGTGGAAAGCATATTTTTCTGCCTAAGTTTGAAAACCCCTAATTTCTCACAATTTACATAATGGGACATATCATAAAATACCCTTTTTCGCCCCTGCTTTCTGTAGCTCACTTTTGTTAAGCAGCCACTCGTCAATGTCAGCTGACTTCGTACAAGTGTTGGGGTAGTAAGCAAGATCTTCAAACATTCGTACGCATATGCATACTTCGCTATAACTTTTAGCCTTAACCTTCGCTATAAATATGCACTTTTAGCCGAGCGCCGGCTCTTCTATAAGGTGTGTCGTGGTTAGGAAATAGTTTAGCTTGGAGGGAATATTCATTGTCTTTAGCGGCTCCACCCCCTTCCCTTCAGGATATCTGCTGCCTGTTCCAAACATGGGCGTGTCTTGTCGTACCTCGTAATCGGCAGGTCGCTCCCTTCTTTGCATTCCCAGCGGTGTTCCGACACTTGGGGCTCTTAAGACGAATTCAAACCACCGTCGTCAAAGAGTCTATTCGAAAAATCGGCCTACGGCCTTCACCAGCTGCCCTTTCGATCCTTCGGACCCTTCCCCACAACATCCGCACAGCCACCCACTCCTCTACCGCTCGCATGCCGGACGTCGTCTGCACACTTGCGTTCTATAATTCATCCGACGGCGGCGATGACCACCATACATAGTGTAGATAGGTAGATGGCGTACAGAAAGGTCGTACAAAGTGAGTGTCGCACTGCCATAACTGGCTTAGCCTGCTGGCACAGGAAGGGTCGCCTGTTTTAAGGTAGGTAGAGGTGCTGTTCCAGATAGAACTCGAATGTGAGTCGGACTTACAGGTTACGTACTTCCTAAATATGGACAAAGAGCGAGAACTGACAACAATTTACACAGCCAATTACAGAGAAAGATAGGACACAGTGCCCTATAACCAGATGAGTAAGGTGTTACTAAGTAGGCACGATTTGACTACGCTATGATCAAGGCCGCATTAATTGTGCCACAAATGATTGAGTATTAGAGCTAATTTAGTCCGAGTCGCCAGCTTGTGTATGTTCATCGGCATTATGTGTACAGATGTGTCATAACGTGTGATTTGTGCGTTTGTGTATAGATTATAGTTTTCTTCATTGTGCTCCCGAATCAAAAGAGGGACAAGTTATGTTGGACGTCTCTTGCACCCAAAAGTCTCTGTTTAAAGTCGCAAAGGGAATACCTCTTCTTTAATAAATACCTTCAGTACTTTTTTACGGAGCAGTAAAATTAGTATTAGACGGTTCGCTAATGGGAAAAAGATTCAAGTCGTCGTGAGAAAAACGCGTGTTTCAGGAATTTGCCAGTGTAAAGAACCTCGCGTAAATAGTTGAGGGATTAGCTTGTGGACCTAAATGGCTGCGCTTTTACCGAGGCTTGTTTCTCATAATGCATATTCTAAGCCTTCAATCAGGTTAAATCCATGAACTTCTGAGACTCTTGATATTTTACCGCGAATGTTTACGATATCATCGACTAATTTTCAGTTTACGCTCTGAGTTGAGCATACATAACTTATCTGCGCTAGATTTGCTCCAGATTGTTTCCCACTAACTTCGTTCCTGCAACCTGACCATTACTATCTTTTGGAATAAGCCGAGCAATACAATAGGCCGATACGATCTGTCATGGATAGAATTGAAACGTGCACGCAAGTGAAACCCCGTAAATTGTGATGTATTTGGTATTTACGTTCCCCGTAACGATTTACCGTACCGATTGCTTTCGCATTACGCTATATTCAATATTAAAAGGCGTATTCTATTAAAAAGTTATTACATTTGCGTTTGAAGTCCTTCCGTTTCGACACTGGAATATTTCCATTGAAAATATGTGTTACCGGCTTTAAGGTTTTGAGGTGAAACATCATCATTGTTATTACGATGTGTTGCTGAAGTAGATAATTATGCGCAATGCAAAGCTTTGACCAACCTCCCCTCACATAATGGTAGAAAACTTTACAGCTCTAGTTTAAAGAAAAAACCACACCAAATTATTTTTGTACGGCAACAGGATTATATCAGAATAATTACTTTCATAGGTTTTCAGTAACATGTGCAGAGTAATGGGGAAAAACCCCCACAGCAGATTGAAAATGCGTATTGATGGATCTTCGAATAATCCCTGATTCCGGGTGTTGGATCTGATCGTTTTGAAGTTTTCTGGTAACTCTCTAACTAAACAAGCCGTCAACCGACGCTTCAAATTCGAAATGCACGGTTGATTAACCCAGATGGACCACAACTGTCAGGGAGCGGATTCCGAACCTGCAAATTGGAGGTGTATCGCGTTCGACCATAGAACACTCCAAAATTCTATTCCAATGGCTTACCTAAATACTTTCCAAATAAATATATGGTGGCGCGTCTAAATTGAGGTTTTTTTTAGACTGCATCTAATGAAAACTGTTCTTTGACACCATTCGATCAATGAAAACCATATGACTACGTTTTTTTGCGTGTGCTCGAAATGTACCTCCTGGCGATCACTTTCATTAATAAAATTATCATTCATTGCGAATATAGCTCCGATTCGGGATTTAAACGAGTAAGCAGTAACTTTTTAAAATGTTCTTTCTTCAACCCACGAATTAACTTTTAACATTAAGCTATTTGCCCCAAAATACGCTACGCACAAAAAATTTGCAAAATTAAATTCTGGGGTAATAATAGATCGAAGGCTGCAGAAACGCAGAGGCTCTAAAAACCTAACTAAAAAAAACCCTTGAAGCTTACTTGAACAATCCAATTAACACCTAATATCCTCTTCTAAAAAATGATAAATAATTTCTGAATCAAAACACGAGGATTTATCAAAAGTGGCTTTTCGAACCATTTTGATAGATTTTCAAGCTTTGTACATTAAATCCCGCTATTTTCCCATTTCAGTTTCCCTGACGAAAGTCAACCCTGAATACTTAAAAGCCGCACTGTTTTTTTTCTCTAAGGTAAATGTATTTTTTTGTTCTGGAAGAAACTGGGTTTTGGCTGGTACTAGGACAAGCATATTAACTGACGCCTGTTACGACAAACCGTCCGCCAAAGTTTTTCCTGATTTGAACGCATTACCCTGTATAGTTATTGTATGTCGAACGATTTCGTCAAGGAAATAATGGCTCTTTTTGTCTAATACCTTTCGATCGCAATTGTGCTACCAACGGTTGTATATCGTACGTTTTTGATTTGAAAGAACACAAAGCTTGACGTTAAGGTAGGATTTTAAAAATAGGCACTTTACGTGTCGTCAGACAGCGTTTTCGACTGCTAAAACAATTCAGGATAGATGTGGCATGTTCGACGAGAATTTTCAAGAGGGGGCTACTGGTCAAAAAACACTTACTAACTTTGAAAGTGGAGGTATATCTTTTAGCCATAACGCCCCCACCGCATGTGAAACAGACACTTGCCATAGCAACCATAACATAGTTTTAAAACCGAGTTTAAGGCAGGACCTTTTTCTTATCAAAACAAAGCGACGACGGCGTATAGAAAGAATAAAGAGGTTCCAACGGTACATTGCATTACGAAGCACAACACAGGTATAAAAAAATAACCGTTATGTTCCTAGTAGCCTAATCTAGGTTATACTAGCCGATTCTCCCAGTTCTGCGCTTACCTAATGAGGAGTTGTCCGATGAGTTGTTTTCGCAAATGCAGAATATTAAATAATCCGTAAATCATTCTACTATGTTACGTTACGTTTTTGACGAGCGGCAGATAAAAAAATTGTGTTTAAGGGGTTGGTACTGCCTAAACGTATTTAAAAACACCTTACCTATATTCAGTTTTTATTTCTTTCTGTCCAAGAACGGACCACTATGTATTATTCAATTGAGCCTTCAGCCGTACACTCACTCGATTTAAAACGTAATAATATTTTAAAGGCTCGACTTCGGGGGTACAAACATGCACTTCAAAATATTACGACAATAACGAGCTTATCACTCAAGATGGCCATATGAAAATGAAGCAAAAAGAATGTTGCGCCAAATATGTTGTCCCTAGATACGATTGCTTTTTGACGACGTCAGTTACAAGTAAGAAGCCTATTTCTTTTGTCCTATTTTTCATCGCCTTTCGAGATGATTCAGCTGTGTCGGCGCATCACCTTTTCTTAGCGGCCTCATTCGAACATCTGCACATTGTGTTGTACTACACTCGTAGATCTCTTGTTTTATATCTCTAAAGTGCCCTTTGCTCAATTTATTTACCGTCTACGCTGGTGCCATTAACGAGACTCTTGTCGTTCTCGGTTAAGTATATTCCAGATTCAGTTTTTCAACGACTTTCAAAACATTTGACCCTTGAAAGCATTGCTAAAAGAAGTAGTTAAAATGTTTCTACTCCTGTTATAATTATAGAATCGAGCAGATAAGCGTGCAGCGTCCCTTCAAGCTAAAGTCTGTAAAAAAAAAAACAAGTTACACTAAAAACGTGAAAATAGTTTATTTTGAAGGATTTCACAATAATTATCTAGGTAGGTTAGGTTAATCAATGCGAGGTCATAAAAGATAGGCGCTCGAGGTGACAGAAGCGATGCACGTTACAGTACGAAAAAATAAAGAAGTAGGATAGTAGGAAACTTCGTACTAAGTTTTCGTCAGTGCAATTCAGTGGCACCAAGGGACATCTAGGATCATATCGAGAGTTTAAGTTATGATAGCCAATTTTTGATTCATTTTGGCACCCGTTTGCAATTTTTTTTGTTTGGGTCATGTCTTTTTAAGCCATTAGCCCTATTATTTAGAGCGAAATTTGCAACACAGAGTTAATGTCGATGTGTTGCAACGTTACGTTCTATCATCTACCAAAAAAAACACCGAACTAGTGATTTAACCCCATTTTCTACACAATCGTCTAATGAACAACTTAACAATCAATTTAACAGCTGACTTTAAACTTAAAGCTTCACAAAATTCTATTCACTAATTTGGCCTGTGGTTAGTGCATACATGCTCTAAAATCAGCCAAACGCTTCTGAGATCTCAAGTCTTAGCCACGACAATCCGACCCTACCCTGCCTGGCAAGGAAGCGGAAGACATTAAATGCCAGTAAAGTAGAGGCACGCTAGGTGTCGTGTCTAAGGACCTTATCGTCACATAGAGCTGATACCACGATGAGAATCGGAGAAGGTAAGATTCGTGTCAACATCTCGAACTAATTGGGACACACCAACTGGCGGTAGCGAACAATTCGTTGGCAGCCAACCATTCAGCCAAGAAGGCCAATATCATACAGTATGATCACAATTTTTACGCATGTACCGGTAGGATGCTCATTTATTAAGTTAGCCAAATGTTTATGTCTGTATATCGCCTGTGATGCCTCGACAAATACTTACACTGCAGTTATTAAACAACATTTGTTTAATAACTGTCATAAACTGGGGGATTAAAAGGTAATGCAACTACAGATAATTTCATTGATGTCAATATAGGTAAAGGATAATGTAACCCGTTGCCATTTATGGTGGGCGCTTAAAAGTTATTAATCTTGGTCTCGGACTTTTTCGCATTTGCCGTAAATCCTATAATTAGCTGCCTTATCTTCTGAGCGGTTTCCCGTAGAACCGTGTCACCTTTTGTATTCCTTTGAATAGTTATAAATTAGGCCATATGCCTTGGCATGTTATACTGGATGGTTGCAGTAGTAACAATTATAATAACAATGATTTCAGACGCAATGAAGTGGCTGTCGGCCATTTTACGCGTTGGCCGTCGCTCAGGGGGAGGAGCCCGTCATTGGGTGTTGAGTGCTCGGTGATGATGTGTGGGCGTTGTAGCAGCAGATTTTCCTCCTCCCTTGTCGGTCCCACAAACGGCCATAGGGGTGGAGGAAGTCGAATGAGCTCGTTGTCCTGTCCCAGTAAGTCCCATGGTAGCCTACCGTGTGATTGTGGTGGCCTTTACTGTCTTCGCGCAGGGCCCCACCTCCAGCTATGGGGTCGTGCGTGGCGTCGGCGGGCCGCTGTCGTTGCCGCCGCATTCATCTTCGTAGCACTCGTAAATACGACAGCTGTTCTGATCCGAACGGCTGACCCTAGCACGCCGGTGAGTAAGCTAAATCGAACGGAACAGAAAAGTTCGTCATGGATCTCATTTATGTATTTAGCGCTTTCTATTTTATTTATTTAGGCTTACTTGCCCTTGCTTACTGAGAAGAATTGCTTCCGTTAAAAAGCTTTCCGTACGATATTGTGCTACCTTTGCAACTACAGAACCCGTGGAAATTGGTCTGGTCGCCAAAAGCCTTCTCCCTTAGCGAATCCAATGTGTCAACCCTAATGGCGCCATCAATAGTCACCACAGGATTCGATATGCCAACCTTTAATTTTCGTAATGTCAAGTAAGTAGTAGTTCTAACGTAGACTACATAGTGCACAAGATGTTGTAGTCTATATTGATCTACATAATTTATCTTTAAGCGCAATTATTTGAAAAAGCGGCATCTTTGCGAAGGTTTTGGGTCGCTAGCGTAACTTTTTTTGTTCCTTGGTATATACATCTGCCACAAAGCAACTGAAAAGTATTAAAATTATTGTGAAAACACGTTTTTATACAATAGCATAATTTATTGAATTGGTTATATTTATACTAACTAGTTTTTTACAAAAACAAGTATATCCAAGTTATTAGTTTCGGCTAGGGAGAATCGATCAGCCGAAAGCTGTAAGAGATTCACAGTGCACTAGTACATTGTTATCGTATTGTCATCTTACTGGAAATAATGCCGGGATCGATATCACTAGTCCTGTATGCTAGCTATCCAAACAGACATACCGAACGAGTCAAATGCATAATGAATCTTCATCATTTTTGAATCTTGTTTCAGATTGGATCGTTCACGTCGTTACCGTATCTTTGAAGATGTTGTCGTTGCTGAGGATCAGGAATCGATTTCGAACTCACTTGTGTGTTTAGCAACGCTGTCATCGTTAGATCGCCTCATCGGACTCCTTGATATTGCTCAACACTGGGATGGGCCCGTGTCAGTTGCCATCTCTGTTCGGTCGACTGAGGAACTGCAGGCTCTTCGCCAGTTTATCCACGTACTCGGCATATGTTCAGATGCTGTGCGACTCAATTTTGCGTTCCATGTTGTGCTCCCGGTTGACGGGTCGCGAATCGACCTACACGTCCGAGGGGTTGGGACACAATTTAGTGAGACAACATCCTGCGTCGACCAACTTAAAACGCTGCTTCCAAGTCCACCTCAACCGCCACTGAAAACGACGAAGGCATTAGATCTGACTAAGTTACTCTTCCCACAGAATCACCTGCGAAACGTCGCGCGCGACGGCTGTGAACGCATGGGCTCCAAATACTTCTTTCTTACAGACATCGATATCGTCCCAAAGCCCGCCCTTGCATCACAGCTAAATGAATTTCTCCATAATCGAAAGACACAACGAGAGGTGTACGTCGTACCGACGTATGAGATGCCGGAACGTGCCGATATGCCTCGGAGCAAGGTGGACCTACTAAAAATGGTGGCTGCAGGATTTGCTCGACCTTTCCACAAGGTCGTCTTCATCCATAACCAATACGCCACTAATCATGAACTCTGGGAACGTCTGGCCAAAAATTCGCGTGACACACTCAAGGTTGCCTATAAGGTCACAAACTATGAATTTTTCTATGAGCCATTCTATGTGGCGCCATTTAGTGTACCACGTCACGATGAGCGATTCATTGGCTATGGATTCACGCGAAACACGCAGGTGTACGAGACACATCTGGCCAATTTCGAATTTCAGGTTCTTGATGAGGCGTTTGCTGTCCATCGGGGCATTCAGACGAGGAAAAGCCGAGGTTTCTGGCGTGAAAGACAGAATGTTCAAAATCGGCGTCTATTTCTACAATTTAAAAAGGACATGGCTGCTCGATATGGAAATAGAAGCATAGCGATTTTTGGTGCTTCACCATAGCAGGGCCAAAAAGCGGACAAGCCTCTATATATATATATAGGTTTGTATATAGTAATATTTTCTTATTTATACACTATTAACACCAACAACAACAGGAATACGCTATTTGACCTTTTAGTCTAAATTGCAGGAAAGAAAGAAAAAAGTCCAGTCCGAGTTGATGACAATCGAGGAAAAACGAATATATGGGAGTGAAGTGCTTGCAACGACAAGATTATTTGTTTATATAAATATATATATATATATATATATATATATATCTCTTAAAAAGTGTCTGCCTTTTCAGCGGGAAATCTGAGAGAAACTTAGTGATAACTGGGGAAAACATTTAGTAAATATAAAGAAATATAATAAACGTTTTTATAAAGAAAACAAACACATAAAAGATAATTAAATTTGAGAATAGATATAAATTAACTACGATACTTACGAAATTAATATAACATAGGATGCTCATGTTAGTTTATAACTGGGAAAAGGCAAAGTTGTGGTTCATAGTGTTAGCCCTGCACCAACCCTCAAATGTAAATTTTCCTGAGCCATAGCTATTTTTGATTACCCTGCAGTTATACCGTGATCAAGTGATAAATTAGTAAGACATTGGACATGTTACGTAGCTTGCTGTTTAAACAAACTGGCTTGTTCCAGTCAAGAAGTTGATTTCTAGCGCTAAGTTAAGCAATGCATCAGATCGGGCAAGCTCGGCTCTCTTGCAATGTGCAAAAAAATCAATAGTTTTCCTTTTTTTTTTATTAAAGTGAATAGCGGCTGATGATAATCTCAAGTGCAGAATTTCGAAAATAGAATGGACGCGACGTTTTCGTTTCGATGCCTTTGAAAGTTTCGGCAAACGGGGAAGCCAGATCGCAAAAACGAGATCTCAAAGGTCAGACTAGAGCAGACGTATTTCGTTCGTGATTTTGTTCACCATTATAAAATCTAATCGAGATAATATTTTCAAGATGAGATTTATCACGTGTATGGGTATTTGCATTAGCAGGAAGATCCTTTTTCCTCTACCTTACGCTTTCAAAAGAATGGTAACGAGCGCTTCGGGTATTACGCATGAACTATACGTGCGAATGTATATATATAAATATAGATATATACTGTGTAAAATTCAGTCGGCTGAGTATGGGCGTCTGTCTGCTATATTAGTCATTGTTTGTTCCGAGTAATCAACGATCAAAAAAAGTTTACCCACTCGAGATGGGCCGCCTGTTTTCGACTGGTAGAATCTTTGGTGTCTCCGCAACCGTTTCACCATACTCGGTGGATATTGATCTATTACAGATCAGTATTCAACAGATTTCAGTCTAGGCACTTACCGTTCGGCCAATATTCCGCATTCAATCGCTTCTTCTGACTTACTTAGTATCATTGCATAAATAATTGTATACTATAAGTACTTACTATTGATTATAGTATACGTACTTTTGTATGTGCGTCCGCCATAAAAGCTCCATCGGCACAATACTCAGCGTCCACATATGGATCCACAATCCGTCAATGCTCCCCGTACGTTCAATGTGAGTGAAGTTACTACGGTTCGGGTGGTTATTCTGGGATTTGGGCTGGGGTTAATATGATAACTGTATTTACTATCTTGGCTTGTTGAAGAGCAAAATGCAAATACCGTATATTTACGGTAGCATGGTTGTCTGCCCACATAAATTTTTATCGACATTATATAGACTTATGGTAGAGATACTGGGTGTTGTAAAGACCTGCACACGAACCGCTTAAATATTATTATAATATGTTAACGTATCGTTGCTGTTTGGGCTTCTTTCATTTGTCGGTACCTCATAAAAAAAAAATGATTAAATAAACTGAATTTAAACGTGAGCATGCATTATACAACGAGTTACTATGCAAATCAAAATTTAGCGGCTAAAATTACTCGTCCTATTATTTGGTAAGTCATTGGCGAAAAACAAATGCCGGTGGGAAACGATCAGTGAAACTTAAATCATAGTGAGATGCACTGTTGGTCGATTGATGCAGAACAGCCCCTTCGCCACGGTGTTCCTGCCCAACTTCTGTAAGCTCAAAATCTGATCTTCGATGTAAATAAATAATGATATATAATAAACGATGTAAAAGTTATGTGGACGTAAAATAGCGGAAACCAAGATGCGCTTCTGCGTCTTACATAAGTTCCATCTATGTTTTGTCTAGCAGTGATACATTTCGATAGGTCTATCATGAGTTTCTATCTATGGTCACATGCTACCACAACTTTTGTTCATGTTGCTTCAATAGTTGGAAAAACGTAAAGTTCCTGGTTGGCAGCGGGTGTTGAGAGAGTTGCATTGTCGCCATATCTACTATTTTTTAACTACTCGAAGCTTGGCATTAAATTTGGGACTTGGAGAAAGTGATGGGAGTGCACGGTCGGTCACATAAGCATCTGCTCCGATATTTTCATGGACTTCTACTAGATCTATCCAACACTGGTTACAATCGATCGTGAGATGACTCTAAAAACTTGTCTTTTCAAATGGTATCCACCGGAAGGACTCCCCAAGCGACGGAGTACTACTTTGGGTGCGCTGTAGTTTGTAGTGTCATTTGTTGAGCCAGGCATTGGACAGCAGTGAGATTAGAGAACCGGGATTCAGTAGACTGTGTACAGGGCACTGAGACGCTTTTGTGTGAACACCGGCATGTATCTATAGTCGGGGAGGTCGTGACTTGGTATGAAGGCTGTCGATCTCTAAGTCTAGCAAGCCTCTGCTTTCATCTACAAGGCTCTTCAATTGAATCCTACACGGTAGTTCGGCTAACGCATTGGAGTGTTACGGTATGTAATGGTAATATACTAATATTTTTATCTTCCTTATTACGTCTTCAGTGTTTCCTTATTTTCCAACTTGTATAAATTTCTTGAGAGTGCTTAATGATTCTCTCTTTGAGGTTGGCAAGCACCCAGAATGGCAAGCTATCCGGGTAAGGAAAATAAACCACGTTATTGTCAGGCACCTTGAATTCGTGTGGGATTTCATGAGAAATTAGGAGCTTCAGTGTGCCATGGACTGGATGAAACACACGGAAAAATACGGTTTCTTATTTATCCTATATATTTCGCCTAGAAGTGGAGAACGCGCGGGCTTAATGACAGGTTCTACGTGGGATCTTCACGGATGATAATAGGTATCTTTACGTCGATGTGGAGTGCAGCAAACAATTGATAATTCCCGAAGATATACTTAAGCCCCTAACTAAACCGAATATCGATTTCAAAATGTACGGTTGGCGGTAATGGAGAGGTCGAATATACTAGGATTATTACCTGTTACGGTTGTTGCCAATTATTAATTATTTGTAACAATTATATATATATATATATACAATATAACAAAAATTAATAATTTGGCAGAAGAATTTAAAAACCGACTTTTTCAATAGAATATTTAGAATTTTCTGACAAGAAGAGAGGACCTGGATGTGTTATAAAAAAATGCCATAAGGAGTGATGATGAGTATATAGTAGGTTAACTTGTTCTCAGAGTTCAAGTGAAATGCGTCTTTTGTTAGGCTAAAGGTCCGTTATTACATACGTTCCAATCTAATATTGAATCTCAGGTAAATCCTTCGTCATCGTTTTATCATTTCGTTGTATATCCTCGTGGCAGCGGTAATTTTGAATATCTAATTTTCACGTAAAGTTATCTTAAATAGCACTAACTTACTTAACTTTTTTACTTTTCCCGTAACTGTAGTAGTACTATCGATAACACGCCTTTATAACCGGAAAGCCTATCTACATCCAAATTACCTTTGGCATTCTTGAATCATTCTAAAAATCTGATCACTTCTTTGAATTTCCCTTTAAAAATGTTTGCCTTTATCGCTGTGGTCTTTGCTTTCGGCCTTCTCGATCTGTAGCCTTCCGGTCCCAAGAGTATATAATAACACTTATTATTATTACCCTCATCCCAACACACATTTTTAAAGTATTTACGCAATTATTTCATAGTATTCTTCTGGTTTCTTAGATTCCGTAAAAGCTTAAAGTGGTTTTCTTCTATTTTTTTTTTCTAGGAGAAACTTATTTCACCTACGGCACGAAATTAAATTAACGACAAAATTCTTCACTTCATGAAAGTTCCAAATTATCTCCATTAAATCGAGTTGAATTAAATAATATTTTCACCTTTAACATCTTCGAGATAATAAAAGAGTTCTAAGTAAATCTGAACGACAGTGTATAAATCGGAATACCCCTAATTGACTGCCGGATTGCAGGCTGTTGTTTCTACAATGTTCTTGGCCTGAAAATGCTGAAAACCTACGGTCTATTCTTGTTTGCCCGCGTTGACACAGGCGTACGCTTACTTGTATTATATTAGCTAAAAAGTTGCTGAACTTTCAACTGAAGAAATGTTGTTGGAAGTGAAAAAAATATGGAAAGAAAATGACCCAAGATCTCTTTCAAAACTTCAACAATTACCACACGTACATGCTATTATATAATAGTTTTATCATCTACCTCAGTGTGTGGATAGACAGCCTCGTCGAAGTTTGGAGTAGTGTTATTAGATAAACGAGTTTACAGAATGGCTATCAGTGCGGTCAGACCAATGGTCCGAATGACCAGTGGACTATTGCCTCGCGTAGTAGCTATCAGGCAATTTCAGGACGAAAGAAATACTATTCAAAGGTTCACTCGAGTGCTTATATTGGCTTTGGCAAGCCAATGCACTTCTGGAACACAAAATTTTAAACAATGAAGACTGTCATGTACAACGTCCTTGTACAAAAACATGTTTTAGACGTAAGATTTTGACGAGATACGTTAGTTCCATATGTAAAAGGCTTGTATTATCTGAGAAGTAGACAGGTTCGTATACACGTTATTCACTCATATATAAGATGGTTAGAAATTCATACAACCCTATGAAGTATACAAACTATTCGAGGCAAAATTTATTTAGAAAATACGCACACTTTTACGAAGAGTGCCTTATATCGGTATCACGAATTTATTCTTTATTTGAACAAAGCGTATTGGTAATTCAACGGTGGCAACTTCTGCCTGTGTCGTACTTTGCCTTTCATATTAGGGGGTAGATAAATTTATCGATACTCTAAAAAGGCCTATGGAATACTTTTAGGGTCTGCACAGCGAGTTGTCATTCTCTATATCGCACTTTACGAAGTGAGAGAACTGTGCAGATTTAGAATGGCATTTACAGATCTTGTTTATAGACCAACAACTGTCGCCTGATAATGCTTTATGACAGGCGTATGACATAAACGTTATGAGGCATAACCGAATTGGACGCGAAATTAATTTACGACAAGGTTAAGATAGTATCCTTATCGTTTCGTGTCGCGGCTCTATGACAATCACCTGAAATTGTCGAAGCAATACCTCTAGCGGCTAGCGTCACCTCACCGGTATGCTATCAAAGTACAATAGTAGAAGAGAACTCATAGGACTATACGCCGATACGAACGTCTCGCCGAGTATAATTAGTATGCTCTCGAAAACCGCTGATCCTTGTTGCCCCGTTTTTCATTTATTTTTCTTCTGTGTCTTCTGAATCTGTTGAGTTTCTCGCGAATCAATTTATATATATATATATATATATATATTATATGTATTTTCGTGTTTTCAAACCCCAACTTCTGTATGCGCATCATTACAGATACATGAATTTAATTGGGCAATGTTGCATGGCTGGTTCATTATGACCCCAATAAACAGGAAATCCGTCACGAATGCAATCATTCTTTGACCTCGTACTGAGAATATTTTTTGAAAGATGATCAGAATAATTGATAGGTTAAGTTTAACGAATATGCTGCTAACAACGGTAGCTGAAGACCTAATCTCCCTAGAAAGAACGTAGTGTATCTGACCTTACGTTCAAATCATAAGGTAATCACTACGTGAGACTCGAACCACATGTAGAATTCATGGCTGCTTGCGTGGTTAGAAAGCTATGGCTAGAGCTAGTACGACTATAATATAAGTTGTTGCATGTAACACAAATAGGATCTGATGCTGATCGAATTCGAAAGACCCAGGGGAAAAGGGGCGATCAATTTCAGTCTGCTCTGGGTTGTCCTTTGATCCTTCAAACAACCGAACAAGCGAGGAGTGAGGTGCCAGAGACAGACGCTTCGGGGATTTTCTTTAGCTACTAAGGTCACGGAATAGAAAGGACCGTCGTTCCTACCGTATGCATGTCTGAAGAGAAAAGAAGGTCGATGCAATGTCTTTATGTGTGTAGTATTACTGTAGGTGTAGTTGTTAAAGAAAGAGCCAATAATAACGATCTCGTTTATTAGCTGTAATAACGTCAAGGAAATATAAGATCAGACCAAACTGAACGTAGTACATACATAAACTTGGATATGGTTAGTGCCTATTCATGAGCCTTCGCTGGGAGGACTTGTAAGGGGAGATGTAGATGGAGGAAAGGAAAACGGGACGGTGCAATCGAATCTGTGGACTTCCTGCTCCGAGGTCAGAGGAAAACAGGGCCCGGATCGACGTCAAATAGCAGAGGAAAATGAATTAGTTGTTGGGCTTGAAAGATATGTCGCGACTGAACAGCAGGACAGTGGAAAAGTATCCACGAAGAGAGCGTTGCTAATACTGGTTAGCCTCTCAGTGGACTTTGGACCATTTAGTTGACGCTTGAGGCTCCGATAAATTACAAAAGTTACAAGCCAACGAACACGCGGGAAGGCAGTCATAGGATTGGGTAAGGTAGCGTAAGTACGATCTGCACAGTAGGTGATGCCTTTCTCCGTACTGCTATTATGTCAGAGATTTAATATCATCCGAAGCCTGACAAGGTAACTAACAGATAAAGACGCGTTCCAGTCGGCTTCATAGGGTTGTTCATTGCCGATCTCCAGTTAACAGGATCTTTGACACCAACTCCAGATTGGGAGTTACGGAGACCACGAAACTGTCGATCGACTTGGGAGTTCAAATTGTTTAGAGAAGCACTGTAAACGTTTGAATGCTCTAGAAGTAGTTAGGGCTAATATACCATCTGTATAATGTGAGCTTGATACCAGCAATTACAACAATGGGATGGAAGTACTAAACAATATGGAAGACAATATGGTATTCTACGAAGGCAGATTTAATTGCATTCATGTGTTTATCTATGAGGATTGCTAACACAATGGACCGTACTAGAGTCTAGACAATGAAGGCGAGTGAAAAATAAAATGGGCATTCTATAACTTTGAATTTAGCTAGATACGAAAAAACATCACCGAGGCATATTTTTGGTAACTAAACTCTAATACCTGACAATATAATAATTTCAGTTAGTTGGTTCCCACAAAGAACTCCACGTCCAGATTCCAACCTAGGCCACTACATGCCCTTAAGTTTAGCAGATGAACACGTTACTCTCTGCATACATGGGGCAAGACAGTACCACCAGCGTATCAGCGTCAAGCCTTCTACTACACTTTATTCTTTATAAGCGTTTGTAGTCGTGTAGCCAAAAGTAAAGTTTACTTTGAAACACAGCTTCAGCATTAATCTTACTTGTACGAAAACACTGTGAATTAATCGAGAAAAAAGTATTCTGCGATAATTTAATATATTAAGTCCAAGGTTACAACAACGGCACACATCTACAACCTATTAAACGCATAGCTTTTTTCTTCGATTGCAGCTTTTACTGTTTTTAAAACAACTTGGAATAGTAAGGGCAAAAGGATGCTTTTATCCTAACACACAACAAGTAATAAATCAGA